CTGCAATGCTCCCCTTGCCTACAGTGAACTTGAAACTGGACAACAACGGGCTGCTGTCACTACTTGAGCCAACTCAGCAGAGACGGGGTTGAATCCCTATGAGCGTCTATTCCAATCCTGCAGCGGCTAGGAGAGCAGCGGGTCAGCCACAGACATCTATCTCTCTGCCCCTCCCCTCGCAGGCCAGCTGCGCAGATGGGGTGCAAGGACAAAGATCGCCCGGGGAAGCAGGCAGAGGAGTAAGATGGGTATGAAGGTTACGGATCACAGGCAGTGCAGGCTAGGGGGTTGCAAAGGCTGCAGCCTCCGGTGTCTGCAACAGGGCTGTTCATCTTTCCATGGTACAGGCAGCTCCTGGATGGGGAGATGGGCCGCATTTCCAGGTGAGCCCCAAGCCCCGGGTACAACCCCAGCCAGGTTAGCATGTGTTTTCTTTACTCGCACAAAACCATCACAGTTAACAGAGCATGGCTGATATTCCTTGTAATTGTAGCTTCTGCCCGAACAAGCGCCCCCTGGCTCCTCCCAAGCCGGGATGCCAGCAGGCGAGCTGAGCAGCGGAGCGTGCGGGCCCTGCATCTGCGGGCTCAGGAGCTGGTGCCGCAGGCCCTCCGCTCACCAGGGGCTCCGGCGGCTTCTGAGGGAGCGACCGCTAGCTCAGAGCGGAGTGGTTTTAATGGGATTTCTACGCTCCTGGTTCTGCTTGCTGCATGCAGCCTCTAGGGAGGTTGGGGGAGGGGCGCGCGGGGAGAACACCCCAGGGCAGGGCCATGCCCAACCCCCTTCCCTTTGACTCTCCTCTCCAACCCCCTCGCCCCACAGCCCACACCCATCATCCAGGGTGTTCAAGAGCTGAATCCTCAGCAACGCATGACCAGGACATAAGGAGACGACCTTGGGTGACCTTGCCGGCCCAGGCCTCCTGAGACAGCCCATGGGTCTGGCTCCTGTGTGGGTGGGCCCTTTCCACTCATGCTGATTATGAGTCGAAAGGTGGTGATTCAGGCAGAGAAGGAAGAAAACAGGGAGGTCTGAGGCAGCACATCCAGTGAGCACCCAGAGGACAAACATCCGGCCACCACTGGCAGCCACTAGGGGCAGCCGCGTGGCCGTGGCCGTGGCTCTGGGACCCTGAGTGGCTCAAGGCAAACAGCAAAAGGGCTTTTCCAGGAAAGGAAAAGGCAGAGGAAGCTGGGGTGCCCCTGCAAGGCCCTCGCCACTCCAGAACAAAGGCACCCTCCCTGCCTCTCCCTCAGACCAGGTGCCAGGGAGCCTGCCTCTCCAAAGAGGGGCTGCCAGCACACAACCCCTGCACCCGGTGCTGCAGACGGCTCCCCCGACACCCGCCTGCAGTCCTGCAAGGGGACACCAGGCTGCTCCTGGGAGGGGCTCTGTGATGTGCAGGGCTGAGGCCTGTGGTCGCCCTGGTCTCCCTATTCAATCACAGCTACATTGGTGCCCAGCCCCCAGCAGGACAGCCATCTGCTCCCCAGCACTTGCCAAGGGCCAGGCACTTAGGGACACAGCTCGGAGCTGTAGCCAGGAAAGAGCCCTCCCCAGTGACCTGCTGTTTGGAAGAGCTGGGGAAGGACTTTGTTTAGGGGACCTTGAGTGCAGACAGAGCGGGGGACTCATGTGCCCCTCCGAGGCCCACCTGGTGGACCCTGGCGCTTGGCCTGGCTGACAGTCTGCGGCACCCACACTTGTCTTGGGTCTACCTGGAGCATCACAGGAGCGCGTGGTGGAGAGCATGCGCTTACAGACGGGAGGAATTGGCCATCGCGGGCCATCTGTGCACACCCAAGCCAGGGAGACACCCCGTGAGCCCTGCTGTTGGTTCTGCCGGGAGGTTTCTAAAGAGACGGTCTGGCACCTGTGTGGGCCCAGGCGCCTCCTCTCCAGCATCCCCGCAGCTTTGTCATCACCCAGCTCTGTCCCCGGCGCCCACCTCTTCCCCGCCCTGCTCTGCTCAGAAACCCATTCATCTTTCAACACCTCAGCTGAGACCTTCTGGGGCCCATCCCCAGCCCATAGCCTGCATGTTTCCATAGCAACCTGAACGTGCCTCTGCTGGTCACATCTCTTCCGGCTGTGAGCTCTTTGTATTTTGGTTGTTTTTTAAAAAAAACACTTTTTATTGATTTCAGAGAGGAAGAGAGAGTGAGAGAGAGATAGAAACATCACTGGTGAGAGAGAATCATTGATCGGCTGCCTCCCACACCACCCACACTGGGGATTGAGCCCACAACTCACGCATGTGCCCTGACCAGAATCAAACCGTGACCTCCCAGATCATAGATCCACACTCTATCACTGAGCCATGCCAGCTGGGCTGCCTGTGAGCTCTTTGAAGTCTCTGGCCCTGACCTGGATTGCTGTGAGATTGGGAGAAGAGGGGATACTAGCTCAGCTCCCAAGGGGGCAGATGAGTGAACAGGGGTGCTGTGTCTAAGGTCTCATTTATTCTGGAGGACATCTTGAAGACAGGGAAACTGAGGCCCAGAAGAGAACCTTGCCAGGGTTGACCAGCAGACCCTGAGCGACAGATGAATGATTACTCTGATGCAGGTTTGCTGTGAAAGAGAGGGCTAAGGGACTGCCTGGCTAAAGGAACCAGGCAGCCTCAATCGCCTGCCTCTTCAGGCTTTTATTGTGTGTCCTTTAAGCAAGGACACCAAAGATAAGCATAAAGATTCTGGTAAACACCTGAGAGTCTGCATGTGCACAGACTTCTTTGGAAAGGTCAAGGAACAATTAGGGGTGCCGCCTTTGGCCAAACTCCCCTAAGTCAGATTTCTGATAAACAGAGCAGGTCGCCTTCAGCCCACTCCTTTTTCCAGAATTTCCTCCTTACAAACTTTCCAACCAAGTCTCCTGTGCTCCCCCACAGAACCTTTCCATTCAGCTCTGGTGAGAGGGGGGTCATGCAGACGGGAGACAAGCTTACCCTCTTCGAGGAGCACACAGAACACAGAACTCACCAAGGAGAAGAGTGTCATTGGGGGAGTCCCGGGAGAGAGTGGTGGTCTGCTGCCTCCTTTCCTCCTTCCCACCAGACCCCCCTTTCCTCGGGGCCAGGGGTAGGCCCACACCTGCTCCCCTGTTGCCCAAGCCTGGGGGACGCCAACACCTGGGCGTGGTGGTGGCTTCTCAGTGGGGCTCAGCGGCAGCACCGCTGTCCTGTGGGTGCTCCCCTCTCACAGGAAGGTGCTCGCATTCTAGCAACCACCTCGGAAATGCCAGGGTGTTGCAGAGGCTGAGCTGAGCACTGAGCAAATGCTGGCAAAGGGTCAGCCTGGGCCTGGGGTGTAGCTGGTGACTGGGGCCTGGGGGTGACAGGATCCTGACTCCTCCATGTGAGCTTGAACATGGCGTTGCCAGCACCCCATGTATTTGCAGCTGTCGAGGTCTGTGCCCTTGTCGAGGTCTATCCATGTGTTGGACAGAAGTGGGGGGACATTTAGAGGAAAGATAAACACAGGAGAGGGGAGGACCCTCCCCGCACTGGGGATCTCCCCGGCCCAGACTCAGGCCCCACTGGCAGGAGTCAGGCAGCTCAGCCCACCATGCCCTGGCCTGGCCAGTCTTGGGGTGGTATCGGGCAGACGGGGCTCAGTGAGACTAAGAAAACCCCATTGGCCCACTCTGTCCCCTGCAAGGTGATTTCCATGAGGGGGTCCAGATACCCCTGCAATCTGAGCTCTGCCTTCTGCCTTGTGTGGGCAACCAGGCTTGTGGACCGGGAGCTGGACCACCCACCATCTCTGCATGGAGCTTCACCAGGACGCTCTCCCACAGGGACGGTCCATCTGTCCTGCCCCTACAGTCAGGGGCCTGCCAGCAAAGGCACCCCTCTTTCCCAGCCACAGCTGCTTCAGACAGACAGCAGGTGCCCTCCCTCCCAGCGCCCAGTGGCAGGTGACAGGCAGGACTTCGAGCTGTGGCGTCCAACCTTCCAACCGCTGACATGCCTGCGGCTTTCCGTGTCGTTGGCTTATCAGTGCCGGTAGGCTCTCTGGCAAACAGAGGCCTCTCTAGGCCCCGTTTTTGAAAAGGCACATAAAATATTGACTGGTCCTTTCTCTCACCTTCTCAGCACCAGGCCTGTGGCCCTGGAGGGTCACGGCCACAGGCTCTGGGACCAGCCTGGCAGGGCCCAGCCTCGGTGCCTGGGACCCCCCAAGCAGGTTTCACTGCCTGGTCTACCTTGATCTTCTTATTACTTTATTTCCTTAGTGGTAAACTGATTGGAAATTGGCTCAGTGTTTTAAATCACAAAACTAACGCACAGTGTCTGTAACCATTTCCGTAGAGTTATATAGAGAATTGGATCAAGGAGACTCTCTCACCGCCACCCACCCCATCCTGCTCCCTGTGTCCCCCCCATCTGTCAGCACCGGGAGACACCAAGGCTCCTGAGGCACCACTGCTCCTGGCAAGTGAGCCCACCTGCACCCCAACAGTCTCCTGCGGCCGGAGCACAAATGGGGGGTGTCAGGGTGCAGAGAGCAGGGCGGGGGTCTGCAGCCACCTGGTTCCTGCTGCCACGTGGCCATGGGTGTGGCCTCCCCACTGAGCCTCTGTCAGGGGTTCCACTGGGCAGCAGTGCGACCTTGGGTGCTGTCAGACCTCGACCTTCCTGCGTCCGTGAGCCCGGACCAGCCTCCCTCCATCCTGGGGCTGGGCAGCTGGCTCCCCCAGGACAGCCCTGGCTGCCCACACGGCTCAGGGCCAATGTGTCCTCCTGGACACAAGAACAGACCACAGCTGAGGGCGCAGAAGTGGAGAGCAGCAGCCGGCAGGACCCAGGGCCTCACCTGTATGCTGGCCTTTCCCTGGGGGTGGGGAAGGGCAGTGCCTCGGTTGTGAGGACTGACATTGAACCCTCTGGTGGTTCTCAGCCTGTTCATGAGTCCAAGCTCTCACTTGTGTGTTCTCTGACTCAAGGGCCAAGGAGATCGAGTCTAAGGGCCCCTCTCCCAGCATCTGGACCACCCCACCTCTGCCTGTCCTGTGGAGTGCACCATCAGGAAGCCCCGGGGAAGACCAAGTACACTCCAGAACTCACAGGAGCTGAGTACCAGGAGCCGCCAAGGGAGAGAGCTGTCTCCAGGCATCTTGCTGGCCCATAGTGACTGGTGTGGACGAAAGGGGCACCTGCTGACCTGACTACCTCAGGGAAGGCCTGCGTGGCAGCCTTGCAACTCATAGACCTGGAGTAACCATAGGATGGTCCGAAATTAAAACCTTTCCAGTTCATAGTGGGTAGTCATGTCCTAGGCCAGTATCTTCCCCGACAAAGATCAACTTTTGATTCTTACTGAGTCTGTTGTCTTTTTGCATCTAAGATCATATTCCTGTGGACTGTCAGGGTAACCTGTAACTTCCCTTTTTCTGGACCCCTCAGGGCACAACCAATGTGCCAGGGTGCCAGGGCGGAGGCCACAGATTCCCTCATTGTTATCATTATTGTGTTAATTGTTGAGTTAACCATCCGTCACCCACCTGTGTGAGAGAAGCATGGTCCGTCATTTTACTTTTTATCCAGTCCCAGAGGCTTCCTGTTTTGCTCTCTCCCGCCTCCCTCATCCACCGCCAGTGGAGTTCATGTCACTCACTGTGTCTTCACTTCGGATGGTAACTTATAAAAATAGGTAAAAGGCACCTTTCTCCGGAGCATTGTCTGGAGCCATTGAGGTTCTGCTTCCTGGCAGTTGTTGACAGTTTGGCTCAAATAACTCACAGATTCTTTACCGGGTGGAATGCGCCTATGGTCACACTGGGAAGCCAGGCCCAGCACCCCTCCCCTCCCGGGACCAGGACCCTGTCTGGTGTTTGTTCCCCATTAACCACTTGGCCTGTGCTCACAGCCAGCTCCCCACCCCCACACACCAGGTGAGCCCAAGCCCCACCCTCCACACCCATCACAAGCCTGGGAGGGACCAGGCTGGGATGAGTCTTCTCCCGGCACATCTGCCCAGGGCCCCGTCACTCCTCCCACGGGTCCTCTCAGCTCCCACTCAAGCTGCATTCGTCTACAGAGGAGGAGAGCCTTCCGCACTTTAGCCAGTGGGCATCCATCTGTGTCAGCTGCATCTGCCGCAGCTCCAGGAGGCAGAGGGTGGAGTGGCACACGGTAGAGTCACCGATGCTTCTCTGCCTGACTGGGCACCGAGTGTATACATACCCTGTGCCAGATGACTGGGCACCGACTGTATACACGTCCTGTGTCAGCACTGAGTTTGAAAGAAGAGCCAGCCCCTGACCCCCGGGAGGTGACAGGAGAGTGAGGCACTAAAATAATGGGGACACTGGCCCCAGGGTGAGGGTACATGGGCTGGATGGGCTGCAGGTGCCCACACCAGGTCTGCCCCAGGCAGTGAGGGCTCACTGAGGAGCAGCCGGAGGCCTTGGAGACTACAGGAGCACAGGGAGCAAGTCAACACACTGATTCCAATGCGAATGTCAAGCCCGCCTGCGCTGCAAACTCAGCACCTCTGAATGTCACGGAGGGACTCAGCTCCTTCTGCTCCAGCTGGCGGGGCAGGGCTCAGCCATCTCCAGCTCCCGGCCGCAGCTGTGGGAGGAGGCGGCGGCTGGAGTGGGGCCTCCACAGGGCACACACTGGCCACTGGACTGTGACGCCGAGCACAGGAGGGAGGCAGCTTCAGGACTCTGGCAGGAGAGCCACAGGGCGGGAGAGACCTGTCCAGGCCCAGAGATAACGTGTAACAGGGAGCCCTGACCGGTGTGCTCAGTGGTTAGAGCTTCGCCCTGCGGACTGAAAGGTCCCAGGTTCGATTCTGGTCAAGGGCACATACCTGGGTTGTGGGCACATCCCCAGTAGGAGGTGTGCGGGAAGCAGCTGATCAATGTTTCTCTCTCATTGATGTTTCAAACTCTCTCTCTCCCTTCCTCTCTGTAAACAATGAATAAAATATATTTTAAAAAATGTAACAGGGAGAAAATATCTGACCTGAGTTGCCAAACTGACACCTGCATCTCACTGTCCGGGCCAAGATCAGGTCCCGAAGAAAGGGCTGAAGGTATTAGTGGACCACAAGCTGCCCAGGATACAGCTTGGCTTTATTACAACAGTTCTCTTGTCTGGAATGTGGGAGGGGATAGGGCCATTGGCCTCTACTGGGTGAGTGCCCTGGGCTCCTGTGCCCAGGTGTGGGCTGCATGCAAAGAGGAGTCATAGTAGGGGTGACACAGGCCATCTGAGGGCAGTGAACTAGGCAAACCAAGGCTGAGTGACCATCCGTCATGGGCTTCAGGACTGACCATGCACTGAGTCAGAGGAGAGCTAGGTGACATCTGAGGGAGGGGTGACAGAGACTGCAGCCAGGGCAGCAAAGAGCTGCCCCTCAGCCCCCCAGAATCCCGCTGTCCCTGGTCCAGCAGGCTCTGAGGGCTCAAGGGCATGGCCATGCCTTCTCCTGGCTTCTCACAGTGGGTGCATACAGCAGGTGCTCCGTAGATGCACTTGACCACGTGGTCTCTGGCTCTGCTGAACGGGACTCCTGCTCACAGGTCTCTCTGTCCACTGGCTGATTGTAGATTGAGACAGGTCCCATCCCAGCTCCCTCCTGGCAGGAGGGTCAGCTGGGATGATCCTCGGCTCCACACTGCCCACTGGGCTCTCTCCTGCCCAGCCCGCCACCGCCCACGGCCGCCCTTGAAGACCAGCAGGCAGCTTCCGTGGAAAGGTGTCAGAGGACCCACGCACCAGGGTCTCCGGTGACACCGCTTCTGCGTTGGCAGAAGTGAACGCCAGCTTCGTGAGCTGAACATTTTACTTTTATGTGGAAAGAAACCACATTCTGCGTCTTACAAACGTAGGCGATGGCTGCAGCCAGGCAGGGGCTCCTGAGGACCCACTGGTACCCGGACTCTGGGACTTCGTGGGTGTCCACCCCCAGCGAGTCCTCAAGGACGGCTGCCCAGGCCAGGGACAAGCCAGGGGGTGGGGGACAGAGCCCTGCTGGAGGCTGGGAGAAGGCCCACGGAGAGGAGGGCAAAGGGAGCCTGGCGGGAGGAGGTAGTCGAGGTTGGCAAGCAGTCCCCACGCCCCCGCACCCTTCATGCCCTTTGCTTCCGGTCAGGACGGGAGGAGCTGCAGGAGGAGGCCAGGGGAGATTTGGGCACGAGCGTCCAGAAAGTGAGACGTACACCAGAGGCGTTGCTCTGGGCAGCTTCGGCCTTGGAGGTGGGGGACAGGCTGGAGGCCCCGTTTCTGTTCCAGTCTCTGACCCCCAAACAGATCAACTTTGGTTTGGCACCGGCCAGCTTCCTGCCCACGGTTCTCTCCCGGCGTTTCTACTTTTTAAGGGGATCCCAGCAGTGGCTCTCACTATCCCCAGCCCACTGTGGACCCCCGAGAGTCCAGGCTCCAGGCTTGCTTCAGGACTCCCCAGAAATGCTGATCCAGGGAGGATGGGGCTCTACCTGGAAAAAAGCTGCCCAGCATGTTGGCCAGGGCTGCCGGAGACCCCAGAGCTGGTATGCCACAGGCCTCCTCAAGGCCCCTCTACCTGTGAGCTCCTTCCCAGGCTGACTGCTCCAGCGCCCGCCCACGTGCACACACACGCGCACACATGTGCACACGCGCGCACACATGTGCACACGCACACGCATGCGCACAGTAGCTGTGGGCCTGATGACCACTCAGAGGGGAGCTTTCCGGCAGGAGCTCACAGCAGTTTCCTGCAGGTTTTTTTTATTTGGGGGCTGCAGGCCTGAGAGTCCCGGGGGGGTGGCGCATGTGAGTCCGAGGGCACAGAGCAGGAAGAGGAGCTGGACGACAGGCACTGGGCAAGTCTGTGGGCACCAGGAGCCAGGCCAGGCAGGTCTGGACCTGGAGCAGCACCTCCCACTGACCTGAGGCCTGAGGGCCCCCCTCCAGCGGGAGCCCCCTCCCCCAGGATAGGGGCCCTCCTCTGATCCCTTTCAGGCTCAGTGGAGTCCAGGGCCAGGCCTGAGGACACCAATCTAGAAAAAGCCTCGGATTCAGGATTCGGGACGTGGGCGGCCTTTCCAAGTGGCCTCGCTGAGTGAAAGGATGGGTGTGGTGGGTCACTCCTCAGGCAGCCTCCTCTGGGTGCGAGAGGGGTGTCTACCTGGGGTGGGGACTGAAGGAGCCCTCCCCCCTCCAGAGCTGGGCCTCCTGCCCCTGCCCAGAGCTCCTGCCTACAATGTGTCCTGTCACACCACTGACCACAGTCCCCTCTGAGCCCTGCAGCCGCCGCACACACCCCGGGTCCCCTGTGCCCGCGCAATCTTGGACAGAGAGGTACCTGCAATCTGCCCTATGTGATGGAACCCAGGGGGACATGGGTGACAGCAAGCAGGGCAGGGTGTCTGTGGGGGCACCTGTGCCTGTGTGGGGCCCCACCAGCGCTGGGCAATGTGCTGTCACCACCTCCCTGCCCTCTTGGGGACTTGTCCAGAGAACGGGGGAGGGGCCTCCGTGGTAAGCAGGCTCCAGTGGTGGGCAACAGGCCCCCTATCCATGCCCCTCAGCCGGCACCCATGGGAGGGACAACTCAGCCCCCAGAGCTCTGCAGTGGCCCTTCACCTGAGCCCAGAGCCACGGGGCCCTCGGTCCCCCTGCCCTGTCCACAGCACCCCACCCCACAGCTGGGGACACAGTTCTGGATGCCACCTGCCCACCATCAAGCTGCTGGCTGCCTCAGCCACCTGCAGCCCTGCATCTCCACGGCAGAGCTGCACCATCCCTGGGATCAGACAAGGTGCCCATGGGACCCAGGTGTGCCCGGCTCATCTGGTCCTGGGCGGAGGTGGGATGATACACAGATAGAAACCAAGGCAGCTATGTTGAGGGGACCCAAGAGGGCAGCTCAGTTAGGGCCCAGCTCTGCACGTGCTCCAGCCACATCCCCAGGAAGGCTCGGGGCCACATCCTGCCCCTCCGCTTACCTCGAACTGGGGGCACCCAAGCGCTCTGTGCCATGGATCACCCCTGCATAATGGGGTGATTGGTGATACCCCTCATGGGATTGGGTGACGTGCACAGAGCAGAGAATGAGGTGCAGGCCCAAGCGGGCATGTGGCTGCATGGGCCGGGCACGGAGAGGGCAGCGAAAGCTCTGGGCGTTGTTGGGGAGGACAGACCCTCAAACACCTGTCCTGCCCCTGCTCTACTTATTCTGACTCTGGTGGCCAGTGTCACCCAGGGCCTGTCGGTCTTGCTGGGAGCAGAGCCCAGGCCAGCTTGGTCCCCCAGGAGCCTGTCCCCTGCTTTCTTAGAGACAAACCCCTGGATTAGCCAAGCATGGGCACCCAGTATAAAGACTCCATTTCCCAGTCGTCCCTACAGAATGTGACTGGGGCCTACGGATGTAAGCAGACACCACAGGTGTGCTAGTGTGTGTGTGTGTGTGTGTGTGTGTGTGTGTGTGTGTGTGTGTTAGGGGAAAGGGTGCTCTTCTCCCCCACACTCCCTTCCGCTAGCTGGGATGAAGGTGCAATGGCTGGCCTCCAGCAGCCACACTGGCCCACGTGGTGACCCTGAGGAAGAAACCATGTAGAACAGAGAAACGACAGGAAGGACCCGGGCCTCTGGCACCATAGGGAGCCCCCACACTAGTCCAGCCTCCCTCTGGACTGTCGACCGTGAAAGACAAATAGGAGTCTTTTCTGTTGAACCCGCGGTTGTTTAAAGTTTCTGTTCATCACAGCCAAGCCCAGGTCCAATCCTAATTCTAGGGACAATACCTGGAAAAACAGAACTTTCTCAGGCAAGCAGTCAAAACCGTCGAGTGCGAGATAATGAAACGTCTGTCTCGTGGGTGTGGAGGGTCGGATGGGGTGCTCCTCCCTCCCACTGCAGCCCCCAGCACCAGGGGCAGCGAGAGACCCCGAGCACACGGGGGTCCGGGTTTTCACCAGGCCCTGAGCCTGCAGAGCCCGAGGGCCGTGGATCATGCCGACCCGCCC